CAACCAACATCTCACTTGTCTCCCCCAGCAATAAGTGGAACAACAAATTTCTCAACAGTTAATACCACAAAAGCCGCCAAGGGGGTGGGTGGATCTTTTGACAAAATTCCAAAATGACATTTACTCTTAGTCGACGTCGAGTAGAGAACTTGGTACTTGATCCCCCTCCCGGAGTTATAGGAAGTTAAATTCAATCTTCACTAGTCAAGTCACGGCTGTTGTACTTGGAAATCACGTTAAATTAGTTTGGCCTTTTGTTTACCCTCACCGGTGATGTTTTATAATTTTGCTTACAGACTATCGTGATTGCTTGATAATTTTGTTGCAGGCTGATGCAAATTTCGACTGAGCGAGTTCATATACTTTTGCATTTTCCCGAATTTTAGGTATTTTAAGTTGGGGAATGGGGGAAAAACGTGGGAAGGCGACAAATGCACATAGGTATGTTTGGTCACTGATATCACACCTGACACCATGCAACAGGTGCGAAGTAAAGCTCAAAAGTCAAAACCGTTACCGTGGAGCTTTAGTTTGGAGAGTTCTAGTTTTAGGGAGCATCCACATATCAGTATTACTATTACGTCAGCAAGTTTTTGGCCATTGTTTGTTGTTACCCAATCCGTCAATCCGTGTTAGCAACTGTTTTCACATAGCCAATGATAGTTCGTCTGGTGCGTCGAAGTCCTCCAAGGCCCATATCAGTTAAATCTTTCCAATTAATTTTAATCTGAAATGTCGATTCGAAGAGAGGATATCTCGAATTTATATTCATACTAGAAAGCCCGTGGTAACAGGGACGAAGCTAGTAGTATTCTTTGAAAGAAGGTTTTAATCGCATCAAAAAAGATCCATCCCGACCGAAGATACAGTCAATTTAAATATAAAACACTTTAAACACAACGTAATTACCACAAAACCGATCAAAATGACATTAAAACAATCTTTGCACGTGCATGTGTGCATTAAAACACCGTTGCTATGGAACCTTTTGGTTGTTACCTAAATTCCTATTTCTCATCTAATTTGCACGTGGGCGGTCGTACAGACAGACAGACAACAGAAATAATTCTTTGAATTATAGTAGAGATTATTGTTTAGCGATGATCATCAAATGCTAACATCTCTACACGTAGGGTAATTTACTTTCCGAAAAATGGAACAGCGAAATGCACCAGAGTTTAAAGATGATATGAAAATGGAAGAAGATTGTGTCCTACCAGAGTTGATAAAGACAGAGATCAAGAAAGAGGGCCTGGAAGATTGCAACTTACCAGAATTGATAAAGACAGAGATCAAGAAAGAGGGCCTGGAAGATTGCAACTTACCAGAATTGTTAAAGTCAGAGATAAAGAAAGAGGAAGATAATCTTGTTATTAAAACAGAAAGGTATTCGAATCCTACTTCTCAGATGCATTGTCCCATCCAAGAATCAGCATTACCTTGTCAACAGTCGGTTCATACTGATGAGAAGTCTTACAACTGCTCTGAATGTTCGTACAGTGCAAGCGTAAAACCCAATCTAGTTCGTCATCAGCTGATTCACACTGGTGAAAAACCTTACAAATGCTCTGAATGTTCCTACAGTGCAAGCGTAAAACCCAATTTAGTTCGTCATCAGCTGATTCACACTGGTGAAAAACCTTACAAATGCTCTGAATGTTCCTACAGTGCAAGCCGAAAACACAATTTAGTTCGTCATAAGCTGATTCACACTGGTGAAAAGCCTTACAAATGCTCTGAATGTTCCTACAGTGCAAGCCAAAAGAGAGCTTTAGTTTTACATCGACGGACTCATACTGGTGAAAAGCCATATAAATGCTCTGAATGTTCCTACAGTTCAAGCGTACAACCGAATTTAGTTCGCCATCAGCTGATTCACACTGGTGAAAAACCTTACAAATGCTCTGAATGTTCCTACAGTGCAAGCGTAAAACCCAATTTAGTTCGTCATCAGCTGATTCACACTGGTGAAAAACCTTACAAATGCTCTGAATGTTCCTACAGTGCAAATCAAAAGATAGCATTAGTTTTACATCGGCGGACTCATACTGGCGAAAAACCGTATAATGCTCCGAATGTTCCTACAGTTCAAGCCAAAAACAAAATTTAGCTCGTCATCAGCAAACTCATATCAGTGAAAATCAAAAGCCTTACAAATGCTCTGAATGTTCCTACAGCGCAAGCCAAAAATCAGTTTTAGTTTCACATCGACGGACTCATACTGGTGAAAACCCATATAAATGCTCTGAATGTTCCTACACTGCAAGCGACAGATCAAATTTAGTTTTGCCATCGGCGGACTCATACTGGTGAAAAACCATATAAATGCTCTAAAAGTAAATGTTCCAACAGTGCAAGCCTTAAACCAAATGACAGTAAAAATACATATCGATCTTCTGAATGTTCTTTTATTGGTTTTCATAAGTCAATCTTATAGCTGCAGGAACTGGACGAAGTTTTTAACTCAAATCAAATTTAATGATCAAAGCCAAAAGCTGATGTAAAAGGTTTTGTAAAAGGTTTTGTAAAGTGAAATTAGTTTCTTATTTTCATAGTTAATATTCGGGTTTTATCAAGTTTTCGAGCAACTATTACATGTAAGACCTAACCTTCATTTGGATATTTAAAAGACAAATTAAATACACACAAGGGTTTACGGTAAGGTAAATCGGGGTTTACTGTAGGAATCAGTAAAACCGCAATTTACCTTACCGTTAATCCCGGTTTACCGTACAGCCCATACTCATAGGGAGTTTAAGCAGACTGAAACTATTAATATTATATCGTTAAATTCGCTGATAATGATGATACTCATACATTGTACACTGTGTTCATACTTCAATTTAAAGCCGCATACAGTTCAGTGTGTTGATAAGAACACAACTGATACGAAAGCGAGTGAATTTGTAACGTTACTAGAATAGACTGTGCATGCAACTGTCGGAAAATCTATATATTCGAGAGTAGGTTGAACAATTAATACCAGATTATACGAGTAAGTTCTTTATTTCAAAGTTAAAGTCATAAAAGAAGCACAAGAATCGCATAAATATACTTGATTATCTAATCGATTGTGATAATTTTCTTGCTTGAATCATTTAAGTTGTCAAATAATTTAACGTTCTATTCGTTGTCGTGAGCTTTTAAAACCAATACTTATAAATGTAAAACTAAAAGAGTACGAAGTTCAAGATTAAATGTAAATTTAATAAATTTAAATTGGTCGTGATGATACCATGTTACGTGGAAATGAAGATTGGCGGAAGAGTAAGATTCTTGGGTCATTGTTGTGTAGTGAAAGTGATATAGCTGCTCGATGCATTGCTGGGAACAATGCCTTCTATAAGTTCACCAAGATCTGGTCTCAGCAGAATATCTCCGTTACCAGAAAGATAGCAGTATACGAAGCCCAAATTGTATCAATCATCGTGTACAATTGCAGTAGTTGGTGTCCTACTGCAAAGTCACTAGAAAAACTAGACATTTGCCATAGAAAACACCTTAGATCATTACTGAACATTTATTGGCCTCATGGAACAATATCCAATGCAAACTTGTACCTAAGATGTAACTCAGTTAAGCTATCAGATCGTGTCCCTAAAGCAAGGTGGAAGCTCCTAGGTCATATCTTGCGTAGTGCTGATGACTCCCCCGCTGCATTAGCGTTAAAGTTTGCTGTCACAACAAACTGTAAAGGGCGCGTCGGTGCGCATCGTAAGAATTTGTTCAAGATTATTGTGAATGATTTGACCCGTAGAGGTTTAAAACTTAACTCTTTGAATGATCTTAATAAGCTTAAGATATTAGCCGATGATAGAGTTGCTTGGAGAAACAAATTTTAACTATAGCTGTCTTGATCTGTACTGATCACCATTTTAGGATGACTTGATTTCTTTTAGGGGTTTTGAATATTTTAATGGTGTAAACAGTTTCTTAATAATAATATTATATATTGTATGATGTATAGTATTTAAATTCACGATCATGGTGCAGCTGCTGCTGTGTTAGTGTTATGTTAAGTTATAATGTTAAGTTTCACGTGTGGTTGCTAGTCCGTGAGGTTGTAAAAGTCACATACCTGATACATAAAAGCATACACAAGTCCACTGCAAATTTAGAAACGTATATTATAGTTTGCTACATTAGCCCCGTGGTAACCATGGTAACCGTCGTAACCATGGTAACCATGGTAACCGTCGTAACCATGGTAACCGTCGTAACGCTATCACGCTTTTAACTAATGAATGTAGATTGCAATTTGAGGCCGAATCTAATCGAACTTTTAATCTTACTTCCTATTCTGGGCATGGGACACTGATCTCTGCAAGGCTTACACACATAACCTTAATTAATTTATTGGAATTTGTGGAACTTGTTGGTATCCGATGAGATTCCATACCTCATACCTCTGTGTAGGTATAAATGTGAATAACGAAATTATTTTTGTGAGCTCATAGTCATACTGGTTGTTGATTGTAAGTTTAATATCTGGTCACTGGGATCCTGCATAATTTTGATATTCTCTTTACAGAGTTGCCATTGCTTTTATCTGATTTAGTAGTGAAATAAATACGTTTAAACTAAAAACGTAGCTTGATTTGTCTGGAAATTCCAATTTTGTCGTTGAAATAGCCTTTTCTCTTCGGTAGTTACCTGTTACTGCTGCCTTTTTAATGTTTTGAGCTTTATGGTAGTTTGATTTATTGCTTCGTAATCAGCTGCATTTCAATCGAAAGTTTTTGAGTTTCAACTTTAAAGCTCCTTCTGCCAGGTTGTGTGCTCTAACGTACATTTCTTACATTCCAGCTAAGCCCTTATAATAAGGCTTTGAACATTATAGCCAGGAAATATTCAAGGAAGAATTCCAAGGATTCTTGGGACTGGAGGATTCTACAAATTCTAGAATCTACGATTTTCCCTTTAAAAGGTGTTTTTGTTGTTGTTGATATTTTTAGGAATCTGACCATCACTAACACTATCCGATTTAACAAAAAAGTTATAAGATGAGTCCACGGCCGGGTGAACCGTACACAACGCTTGAAGGAGATGATGATGCAGCTGTGATTGAGACTAGTGAGGAGAAGGGGGACTCTGGTTCACTGACAGTGGAAGAGATGGTGAACACGTAAGTGCAGAATATCATCGGAATTTATGTTATGCGTTTACATACTCGGGTACTTGCCAAGTTGACTGGTTGACAAGACATGATGGCTCATTAATGTGATTTTCACATTGAAAATGATAATTCCGACAAACCTTTGCGTAATTTATAATGAACGAATATTGAATATGTAAATATTTTCTTTAACAGGACAATTGGTGCAAATAGCTCTAAAGCATCTGTTTGGATCTTCATCTCACTCTATCTACTAGGACAGTTAGCAAGGGTGGCTGGCCCAGCTCTCGCTCTCATACCAATCTTCACAGGTGACTGTCTATAATTAAAATATGAAGAAGCAACTCTGAATCAATGTGAATTAATATTATTCAAAGATCTGGAAAAGTAATGAAGCAAATCTTATATCAGTGCTTATTCATAAACAATATTTACTGTTATATATTGATGTAACTGATCTCAAAATAATGAAAATCAAGCGTGATTTAATGGGAAGTTCATAATATGTCTGTACTGCAACTCATTTCCGATTTTTCTTAGGTTTCCTGAATTACGAAGACTGGGAATGTACCTCTGGTAAATGTGTTGAGCTAATGAACAACTTCACGGGTGAGCCGAAAACATTTTTCAGTCGTGCCACAATCTGCGACAATTCACTGGAGCCAAACGTAGATTTCAACTGGAATACTGAAAGAACAAGTTACGCTATAGAATGGGGTCTGATTTGCTCGGACGAGAACAAGGACTCTAACATCAAGAGCTTCTTCTTCCTCGGTGCTTTTATGGGTCTCCTAACAGGTGGAGCTTTATTTGATAGGATCGGCAGGAAGACGACCTGTCTAGTTGGAATTGGAGTGACATCAGTCTCCTGTCTGGCTGTCTTCTTTGTGAACAGCTACGAAATCATGCTGATTCTCAGAGTAGTGCACGGGTTCGGAGCTTTCATCGTGGTGGAGGGTGTTGATTTGCTGGCTGTGGAGTTCACTCCTTCTGATCTCAGGAACCTGAGTCAGATCCTGAGTAACTGCTTGTGGAGTCTGGGCTCTTTTCTTATAATTGGTATTTCTTATAGCATGAGGGATTGGCACCACATCTACTTGGTTCTAGGACTTGTTTTCGCTGTCACCGCTGTAGCAGTCTTCATTTACCCAGAATCACCCAGATTTCACCTCGTTAAAGGAAGAGAGAAAGAAGCAAGGGTAACATTCAAGAAGCTGTCAAAGATCTTCAACACCAAAGAAATATCAGACGACACAAAGCTGACATACCAAGATTACGACAAGAACATCCTCGGACAAATCAAAGACTTCATAAAATATCCCGTGATGCTGAAAAACACAGCTATCCTACTAGTATGTTGGGCGGCAATATCTTGCGTGTACTACGGTCTCAACTTCAGCTGGGGTAAGCTAGGAGCAGATATCTACAGCAGCATTCTCTTCGCTTCCCTCGGAGGTCTCATATCTGACGTGTCCGGGATGAACTACTTCATCATACACTTCTTCGGGAGAAAGAAAGCTGTGGTGATATGTTTTGCTGGGATCGCTGCACTCTTCTTCATCTCTATTCCCAGTTATGGGGTTCATCTTGCTGGCGGTTGGAATCTTGATCACGTGGTATGTCTACTTGCATCACTATTCATCGGGGGTGGGTGGGGTTCAGTGATACTCCTAACCAAGGAGCTGTCCCCTACTTCCCACAGAGGGATGATATTCTGCATGGGTTCTGCCTCTGCCAGGGTAGGTGCGTTTATCGGACCCAAGATGACGCTGCTCTACAACACCATTAATGCTAGAATCGTCCTGGCGATATTCGGGGGTATTGCATCCTTCGCTGCATTCCTGGCGTACTTTAACTCTGATAGTACTAACAAACCAATACCTTCCACTCCTGAGGATCTGGTGCAACTGAGATCGGACACTGGACATAGGAAGCTCGGCGAGGGAGATATTGAACTTTGAATGAGCATTACACTGGCATTAACTGGATGCACAAACTTGGTAGTGAAAAGCTTTTATTTTTATAGTTTGGACATTTTTAGATGGTCCGTTCGAGTAATGTCAGCGGTGGAGACGGTGGTGACGCCAACTCCAACATATTTAACCCGAAGAAGAAATCATTTGTATCAACAACCATTGCATTAATGATCAGCTTCGCCACATTTAACATCCGTGGGCTCGGTGTTCAGCAAGATGATAGCTTACATAGTAAACGTGAGTTACTAGGATTAGACTGTGAAAAGTACAATGTCGACATCTGCGCTCTGCAGGAAACTAAAGTCACCGAATCAGACAGCCTTGTTTTGCGCAACGGTTTTAACTTGTTTCTGTTCGAGCAGTTGGATAGTCGCCATGGAGGCTTGGGTTTTATAATCAGTCCTCGCATGATGAACTATGTGGTTCGCTGGAAGTACATCAGTGACCGGGTATGCTATGTCGATATTTGCATCCCCTCACGTAGCGGTACACCCCTACGTTGCAGGGTGATCAATGCCTACTGTCCACATCAGGGGCTAGTCCGTAAAAATTCCAGTTGTTTTGGATAACTTTTATGGGCAGCTAAGAGAGGCCAAGAATGTACCCTCTAATGTGGAGTTGCAATTTCTGGGTGACTTTAATTCAAAACTGGGTAAATTATCCCCTTCTGATATTGAACAGGGTTTTGGTAGATATATGGGGAAATACGGAATGGGAGTAAGGAACGAAAATGGTTCTAGATTACTGGATTTTATCTCAGAAAATAATCTGTTTGCTGTGAACACTAGTTTTATACAACCTAGCAGACGTGTTACATCATTTACTGGTTGGCGGAAGGATTGGTCGGCTGGTCGGTACAGTAAGAAGACACTGCCTGTATACTCTCAAATAGATTACATACTATGCCGAAATAGATCTAAGTGTCTTTTGACTCAATCAAGAACTTATGCTGGTACTAAAACATTTTCAGATCATAGACTTGTCATTGCTCGCATCAATTTCAGCAACATTCATCTTTGTTTCAAACCTAAACAACGTCGTGTTCCTTCTTATAATATATCAGAACTTGTAAGCAACAAAGATATGCAACATAAATATCACTTGGCCCTTGAAGGCAAGTTCTCAAATTTTGTGACCAGCAACGATCCAAATGCCGACCTTCAAAATCTTATGTCTCATATTCGTGATGCTGCCAATGTTTCCATCGGCCCAAAACCTAAAGCTCGCTTGAAACATCACAGCAGTGATGACACTCTCAAAGAGCTTGTTGAAAAGCGTCACGATCTCCGACAGCTACTTAACAATAGTCGATCTCTTGATCGAACTACATTGAGGTCATCCATCAACCACCTCACTAATAGTATCCAGAAAAGATTAGTTGAAGTGAGGTCTGCTCAAGCTGATCAGACCTATAGTGATATTACTAACACAAACGATTCAAGGAAAATGTTTGAAGCAGTAAGACATCTTCAGAAAAGTAAACCACCTAATAACTCGATTGGTGTTCATGATGAAAATGGCTGTTTGATTGCATCTGACGACATGAAAGCTTCTGTTGTTAGAGACTATCTCGAAAAACAGCTGACTCGCAATGAGCAACCTCTCGAGCCTTTTGAGGGTCTACCACGTGCTCTCAATGTCCCTTTTACTGGAGTTGAAATACATGCAGCCACCTCTAGCTTGAAAAATGGGAGGGCAAATGGTCCCGATGGAATACCCAACGAGCTAATTAAGTACTCTAATAGTACAGTCCATGAACATTATGCTGGAATCATAAACAGTTGTTTCGAGACACATACTTTCCCCATTTCCATTGGTGAGGCTACTATAACACCCTTACAGAAGCCAAAAAAACCTATTGGTCCTCTGAAGAATTTACGTCCACTCACCTTGTCCAATGCAGCCAGAAAAATTCTGTCTATGGCTACTCTTAAAAGGATAGAAGAAAAAGTGAACGCCTTCACTGGTCCATGGCAGTGTGCATACAAACGCGCTCGTTCTTGTGCTGATATTGTTTGGTGTTAGCGAGTTCTACTGTCAGTTGTCCAAAGGAAGAAATGGGAGTATCATCGCATGGGCATTGATATGTCTAGTGCGTTTGACACGATCAAACGCACTACGATTCTTGAACTCCTGAAACTGTGTGGCTGTACTGAGGATGAGCTGAGGATTGTCCGGTTGTTGTTGTCCAACACAAAGCTACGGGTGAAGGTAAATGGAGTTCTTTCAGCTGAGTTTTTAAGTCTCCTTGGAGCTTTCCAAGGTGACTGTCTATCCGGCTGTCTGTTCACCCTTGTCTTGGCTGGTGCTTTGAATGAACTTAGATGGACTATAACAATCAGTTTAGATAGGCCGATCCCCCCGATTACTATTGCTGGCCTTCCACTTGACACTGAATATGCTGATGATGTTGACTTCAATGATGAAGAGGAAGACAACTTGAGAGCAATTTTGCCCCAGGCAACAGCTATACTCGAGAAATGGAACCTCTTTGTCAATGAAGACAAAACGGACTTCACTCATGTTTATTTAGCTAGTACGGGTGAAGTCGACAGTGATGGAAAATTAGTGTCGGGGAATGAAGCATGGAGGAAAAGTATCACTCTAGGGTCCGTCTTGTGTAGCAAAGCTGATATTCAGCGTCGCATAAACCTGGGATATGCTGCCTTTAACAATTACAAGAAGGCCTGGAGTGATAAACTGCCCCTAAACAAACGTCTAATACTGTATAATGCTTTAGTCGTATCGGTTCTTATGTACAACTCATCCTGTTGGGCCGTCCCCAAAATAATCCTTGAAAAACTAGATGTTGTTCACCGCAGACATCTTCGCACTATTTTGAATATAAAGTACCCATTAGTCATCTCCAACAAAAACTTGTATAAACGCTGCAATGCTGAACCATTGTCAGAAAAAGTGGCCCGTAGTCGGTGGAGAATGTTAGGACATGTTTTGCGGGGTCCTATTGACGGACCAGCGTTTTCTTCCCTCATTTTTGCCATCAATACACTGGACTTACCATGTAAAAGAAATCTTTATTTGAATAATATCTTTGACCTGCATTATCTCCGTAATTTGAGTTATGACAAGAGATATTGGCGGAATTTGCAATGAAGTTTTTAATTTTTAGTTTTTGTTTTTGGGAAAGATTAGACTTGGGCGTTGTTTTTTAAACTATCCCTTGTTTAGAACTTTGATTTAATAGTTTGGACATTGCTGATTTCTGATCGGACGAGTAAGTTGATATCAAAAGCTAAATGATAACTTATTAGAAAGATAGAGAAGATACAAGTAGGGTATAGATAAGGGTTCTGTATAGAGGCGAGCACATTTAATTGAATCATCGTAATTGAATGAACTAAGGCAATGTTAATTGAATCATACACTCGTAATTGAATGAACTAAGGCAATGTTAATTGAATCATACACTAGTAATTGAATAATGTGATACTATCTGACAAAGTTAATTGATTCATACACTAGTAATTGAATAATGTGATACTAGCTGGCAGTGTTAATTGATTCATACACTAGTAATTGAACAATGTGATACTAGCTGACAAGTTAATTGATTCATACACTAGTAATTGAATAATGTGATACTAGCTGGCATTGTTAATTGATTCATACACTAGTAATTGAACAATGTGACACTAGCTAGCCAATATGAACGGATAACGTCTGTCACGTGACTTGTAAGGGTGTTTGATACTCTTCTTATCAAATTATTAATGTTATTGTGTACGTCACGTGATTTGCAAGTGTAGATGAAGTTCTGTACGTGATCAAATTAATGTTATCGTTTACGTGTGATGATTATATTTGTTACATTGAAGTTGAGTAGTGAATGAGACACGTGATTTTAGAGATAAAACACCATGTACTTTGAGTTAACCTGTGTTGACGCATCGAATTAACATACTTAAGTAGATTCTGCAAAGTTGCACTGTATTTGATATACTAACGTTCTGTAGCTCTAGATCTATCTCTCACCGAGATCTAATACTGTGATGACACATGATCATACAGTGTTCTGCAAAAACAAATAAACTCATCAAATTAATGTAACGTTATTTAAATATATTTGATATGATAAGATATGTAATGATTGGAATTTCAGGTAAACCCGTTCTCAAAAAACTACAGAACACTTCGCAATGATAAAATTTAACATGCAATATAATAATAATGGCAAGGATGCCAGCAATGGTGCCTCTCAAAGTCTCAATTTAGAAAGCGGGTCTTGAAAAAGTTGACCTCTACTTGATAAAAGCAGATCTTACCCATGTCAAAATGAATATATGCAGTGAAATGTGATATTTTGAAGTCAAACATGACTTTTGGCATTCATTTTTTGTCACGGCAAAGGTGTCATAAAATTCGTGTTTAATACCACTTTAATGAAATATATTTGCCATTGACTTGATATTGGTCGCATAGCAAGCGATTTACAGCAACAACAGAAAATGGGAGGTCCTATTCTAAAAGTCACAGCATCCTTGGTTGGGTCTAGTCAGTCAGCACCCCTGGGTGGGCCTGTAACATTCCAAAAAGAAAAAACCTTACCTAAAACACTCAATTCAAAATATATTTACTAAAGTCCAAAGAACTTATTTCTAGCTGAATCAGTATTCTTTCTTTTAGATGTAGGGTTGACATAGACTGACACTGAGTCACTATCCATGTCGCTTGCTACGTCGTTATCCGAATCTGAAATCCTGTTAGATAATTTGATTGTGTTCAGCTGAGTAGATGCTGTTTCATTTATTTCATCGTTATCAGCTATAAGTTTTTGAAACTGTCTTAGCACTTTTTCATGTTTATTGATTGTCCATTCCATTTCTTCGTAGAAATCTCGTAGCTGATAAATGGCTGTTTGTAAATTCTCAATAGACGCATCGTGGTTATCTATATCATTTGGATCATGATCATGGATAAGAGGGTTTTCCGATGGTATACTGCATTGTATTTGTTCGTCAATATTTTCCGCTTCCGAATTGTTGCTAGATAAACTTGACGCATAAGGATGCACTCTGTAACGATGACTAGCCAAG